TGTTAATTGGGCTCAGCCCATTCTGTATTAAGGACATTGACCCATATCTTACATTATAAATAAACTACCCTATGTGTATGCAAAAGACACAAGGGATATTTTCTCCCAATCTTCTCTATTTCTCACACCATGAACCAAAATGCAATGAGTTGTCTTGGTCCATCAAAAGTCCCTTTTGGAAATGGCACAATGATTCCCACTCCAGGGATGTCTCAACAAGCACAATGAGGGATGTCTCAACAAGCACAATCAGGCATGCAGCCCCTTGTAAACAGTGGTGCAGCTAATATGCGCTATGGTCGCAGCAGACATAAGGTGGTTTGCAATCTGCTCAATCCAAATGTAAAGGTCTGGCAGGAAAGCTTGTTTGGGCAAAGAAAAGGACTGTCAGTCTTTATCTCCAAACTAGAAGGTTACAGGGATTCTTATGCCTCTAAAACACTTGCAGCAAACTGGCTGTCTGTAATGGAAATAGTTCGGCTTATATCTCAGGACCACATGAATAACAAGTAATTCCTTATTTCAACTATTGTCATACTCATCCCCCCTTACACACACACACAACCACTCATTAATATTGGTCCTCATTGTTTTCTTGCAGACAATATGTAGGAAAGGCAGATTTCTTAGTTTTTCTGACAACAAACCCACATGGCTTTCTTGGTCAGCTGCAGTGTGTGCAGTTATGCAATTACCATCATAGACATTGCAATTATCTGTTTCTGACAGCCTTCCACTTGATTGGATGATTCAACTTGGGGATCTGGTTGTATTTAAGTCTCAATTGTCCAATCACCAGCAGCAACAAATGCAGAAACAACACCAGCACTTGCAATCACATCAGCAGCATCTTCCACATTTGCAACTTCCTCATATGCAGCAGCAACAACTTCCGTGGCACCAACAACAGCAGCAGCAATTTCCTCTGCTAGAACAGCACCAACAGCTTCCTCAGGTCTAACAGCAGCAGCTTTCTCAGTTGCAGCAATAGCTTCCACAAATCCAGCAACCAGCAACGTAGCAGCTACCTCTACTTCCACAAAAAATTCTACAACTACACAACAATAGAAGCTTCCAAAATTACTGCAACTGCAGCCTCTGCAACAACAGATGGTTTGGGAACGAATGGGTCAAACCTATGTTCAAAGCCGTGGGCAGTCACAAGCTGGTTTCTCATGGACAAGGGTTTCATGAGTTATCTCAATTTTTCAGTGGTTTCCCCATGGCTAACACACTGGTATAAAATGAAACATCTGTGTTATAATGTCCTAGCTTTCAGTCACAAGTATTTTAGCTCATAATGTGCACTCTCTAGTATGTCCTTATTACAGAAATGTTAGAATGTCCATTTGATGTCACAAATGTCTTTCTGCATTGCAATCTTGAGGATGAAATTTACATGGAAGTCCACTTGGGTTTAAAGTCGAGGAGAGAGGTGTGTAGACTAAGAAAAAAACTTTATGGATTGAAACAGTCTCCTAGAGCATAGTTTGACAATTTTACTATTGTGGCAAGATCAAGTGCAGAAGCAAAATTAAGAATCATGACCATTTGTGAAATACTATTGTTAAAGATAGTTTTAGAAGACCTAAAGATTTATTAGGAGAAGCCTATGAGACTGTATTGTGATAAAAGTCATCACTAAATATTGTGCATATTTTAGTGTAACTTGATAGAACTAAGCCTGTTGAAGTAGATAAACACTTCAATAAAGGAGACATTGGATAATGGGACATGAACCATTTGTATCCTTTGGAAATCAATTTGCAAATGTATTGAAAAAAGGGCTAAGTGGTGCCACATTTTAATCTATTGTTGGCAAGTTGGAAGTGAATGACATCCACTCACCAATTCGAGTGGGGGAGTGTTGGAATTCATTAATTTATGTTGCATTTAATATTTTCTTGTTCAATTTTTTATTACATGATTAGGAGATTTAATTACATTCCATAATTAAGAGGAAAATTAGAAGGATTAATAGTTTGTTAATAATATATTTATATTTATTGTATAGGACCATTGATCCTAAATTGTAGGGATAGATTATATCCATCATAAATTATAATTCAGTTATGAAGTCTTTATATTCTATGAATAATATTAAAAGCATTTTTTTGACATATTGCAATCTTACTTCCTTCTTTCCCCCTTGTTTAACTATAGGTACGGACAATATCATTATTTGGTGAAGTATGGGGCATAGGACCATCCACAGCATTGAAATTGTATGAGAAGGGACATCGTTCATTAGATGATCTTAGGAATGATGGCTCACTTACAAATGCACAAAAGTTAGGGCTGAAATACTTTGATGATATCAGACAACGGATTCCACGCCATGAGGTTTGCAACATTATTATTAAAGTGATAACATTCCTCCCCACCCCTTCTTCCCCCACCGAAAATTTATTTTGTTAAAACCTTTATAACCATTTTAATTTGATAGGTTCAGGAGATGGAACACATTTTACAAAACGCTGGGGAGGACGTTTTACCTGGGGTGAGTGAGCCGTACAAGTATTTGTTGGAATGAGATTAATGAGTTTCTATCTTGTCATAGATGTTTCATTAGAATCTTTCACTTGAAATTTCTCTCTCATTATCTGATTTTTTCAATTAAAATAGATTTTTCCCATGTTGCCATGTTCTTTGAAATAAAAATGGGATGTAGATGGAACACACCAAATGATAAACAAAGAAAATAAAATACTGAACACAGAAACCACATAAGATACAATAATGCACTTGCTGTCCTATAGACGAAAGTCGGCTTCATATTCTTTATGCACAAACTGCAAATAAGAACATACTTGCCTTATTTCTTTGATACCAAAACTTGAAAGGTTTATTCTGAAAGAAAGAAGATTCTTATTTAATTTATTCATTTGAAAAAATACATCATCCTCTAAATATAGGGAACACTAATCCTACAATAATAATTACTGAGAGATGTCCAGTTAGGATAGGCTTCAGAGACATCAATACCAGATATGCCAAGAGAAGTATCTAAGAGTACCAAAAATAGTATAAGTATGCGATGGTTGTTGTATGATAGGGACAAAAGACTCAAGAGATTCAAAAGACTCAGCCTTGAAAGAACTCTCCTCCTAATGCTGAAAACACATGTAAAAAGTTTTAGTTTCATTAAAAGTGACATCTATGGACGTAAAACACTTTCAACTCAGAGGATGGTTACAATAATATCCCTTTTTATTAGATGCATAGCCAATGAATTTAACAAGCACATTGAAATACCTAACTATGAAGAGTAGAGAGAAAAGAAACATATGGATAGAAGGGAGACATGAGCCTTTGATGATGTAACCATCCTCTGAGTATTGAAATACCTTGAGACACATGACCAACAATATTGAAATACCTTGAGACACATGACCAACAATATTGAGACAAATCTTACTTTTTATGGACAAAGTACATGATCCAGAGGGCTTACTCATTGATTCAACCATTGCTTTCAAGCGCTCGAGTTCCTCCTTATAAGCTTTCATATCAAGATCTGGTGGTGGTGAAGGACTAGATTGTGAAGGACTAGATTGATTGGTGGCTTCCTGTATTGAGGTAGTATGATTTACCCTTCTTTAAGTAGACCCTTTATTTTTTCTCATGCGCTCGAGAACATTCTTTCTTCCATGGAATTTGAAGCATGTTTCCTTAGTATGTCCAGATCTTTTACAATATGAACAATAGTCCCCATGAGTACCTTTTTCAAACGAACTTCCCATTTGTTCCCATGAGAAGAACTTAAAAACTTAGATCTACTCAAATATGGGCCAAACAGGACGTCACCGGAACTAGGCGCGTGGGCTACACACACTTGTGGCGGCGCGTGGCCGCGCATAGAGGCTTGTTTCCAAGAGCGACTTTCGATGTTGTGGTTGTCGGAGTTGGGCGCACCTAAGGAAGCCGACGCAGTGGTCGGACAGCGGCGGCGGGAGCTACTGTTGCAGCGGAAACGGTGGGGGCTCTGACACCAAGTTGAAAATAAGAATATTTTATTGTTCTCAAACATATCAATTACATTCTTCTTTGCTCTATTTGTAACAATCTAATATTCTAAAATAGGGAAACAAAATAATCTAGAAGATTACACATCTATTTTCTCTAATTAGGAAGATTCTATAGATATCTTCTTTAATTAAGAAGATATTTCCTCTAATTACAACACTTTTCTTCATCCGTAATCATATCATAAAGTGGCAAAATCCAAGGGATCAAAGTGTCAAACTTGACCTTGACCAAGGAGAACCATATTCTAATCTTGGGAAATACAAAAGGTTAGTTGTTAAACTAAATAATTTCACCGCCTCACGTTGGCTTTTCAGTTAGGGCAGAAAGTTAGTTATTAAAATCTCCTTGTCAAGATTGTCAAGATGCCTTCAAATGGATCTTATAGTATATTAAAAAGGCTTTGGGAAAAGGCCTCATTTTTTGAAGATATGGGAAATATTCAAATTTTTGGGTATTCTAATGTGGACTGGCTAGGGTCAGCAAACAATAGATGCTCAACTTCAGGGTATTATGTTTTTGTTGGAAGTAATTTAATATCATGGAAAAGTAAGAAACAAAATGTTGACAAGATCAATTGCAGTAGTGACATTCGTCACNATAATCTAGAAGATTACACATCTATTTTCTCTAATTAGGAAGATTCTATAGATATCTTCTTTAATTAAGAAGATATTTCCTCTAATTACAACACTTTTCTTCATCCGTAATCATATCATAAAGTGGCAAAATCCAAGGGATCAAAGTGTCAAACTTGACCTTGACCAAGGAGAACCATATTCTAATCTTGGGAAATACAAAAGGTTAGTTGTTAAACTAAATAATTTCACCGCCTCACGTTGGCTTTTCAGTTAGGGCAGAAAGTAAGTTATTAAAATCTCCTTGTCAAGATTGTCAAGATGCCTTCAAATGGATCTTATAGTATATTAAAAAGGCTTTGGGAAAAGGCCTCATTTTTTGAAGATATGGGAAATATTCAAATTTTTGGGTATTCTAATGTGGACTGGCTAGGGTCAGCAAACAATAGATGCTCAACTTCAGGGTATTATGTTTTTGTTGGAAGTAATTTAATATCATGGAAAAGTAAGAAACAAAATGTTGACAAGATCAATTGCAGTAGTGACATTCGTCACTTGTGAGCTCATATGGCTAAAGCCACTAGAAGAAATCAGCCTTGAAAGTTCTCCAATGCACCGTGTATGTGACAACCAGATATCATTATGCATTGCCTCTAATGCTCTCTTTCATGAGAAGATCAAGCATATTGAAGTAGATGATCATTTCATAAGAAAACAACTAGAGTTTGGAGACATGATCACTTGATTTTTAGATTCTAGTGTAGCAAGCTAGACCCACCTGACTTATATTCTTCAATTCAATTGAGAGTGTTATAATTATAGAAATAAGGAACTTATCTTATATATAATCAAGAATATCTAGATTATATATGCATTATTAAGAATGGTTTTATTTATTTTTGTATAATAACTTTGTTATTAAAGGATATCAAATTTCCTCTACCTATTGTATTAATTTTAATCCCTTTTTCTCGATAGAAATAATACATCTGTGTTGTCTCAATAACGGTTTCAACTCAATGTTTTTATCTTTCCTAAAGTTTAACAACTCACATAATCAGAACAGAACTCTCAATTTGTTTCTGCTACAGTTTGCATTGAAGAATCATGTTGAAAACTTGCTCATGGTGCTGTTATGTCATTTAGGTTGTTATCATCTGTGGGGGATCATATAGACGTGGGAAAGCTACCTGTGGAGACATTGATATCATAATAACACATCCCGATGGACAAAGGTATGGCTTGATTTCTTATAACCTTTATTTGTGAAGAAAAATTGCGTTTAAATATATGGAGTTTTTTCTTAATCATAGTACAAGCATGCTATAGCAGAGTGGAAAAGCCTTTGGCTGCAAAAAGATTCAAATAATGGAGTGATTTTCATTAGCTGTTATTACTGCTGCCATTGGCTAACCATGGTGCTCTTACCATGATAGAAGTTCCAAAATCCCAGTTTTAACTACAATTTGCTAATGCATTCTTTTCTTCAAGAAGCATAATAAACAAAGAAAATCAGACAAGAACACAGAAATAAGGTAGAGATGAAGATGTCACAATCTAGCCTATTGATGAGTCAATGAAGATTCGTCACAAAAATCTCAATCTTTGATTAGAAACAATGTTCTATGACAAGAAACAAAGGAATCCTCTCAATGAATTCAAAATTCAAATATTAACTATAAACAACTTTAGGCTTAGATATCATGTTGAATATAGTAAAACTAGGTATAAGATTATTCTCTCTTATGTCTAAAACACATATAGGATAATATATTTATAATGAAGAATTATACAAGTATATATGGCAACTAAACATAAATATGGTAAATAGAAGATATTGTTAAAAACAATATCAACAATGCCAAAAGTCTAAGTTTTCCTAATTAACATAAAACGTAATATATCTAACATTTATGTTTCCCTAATTAAAATAAAACGCAATATATCTAACAAAATCTCTAAAACAAATTTATTTTAAATTGATTACACCAGTTCAAACACACCATCCAAATCAATTTGTCAGTCATCATAATAAACACACACAAAAGAGATTTAAATTATAACTTAAAACAAAAGGTAGTTAGTTTTCCTTACCTTTTTAAAAGCTCAAACAGTCCTATAGAACCTAGACCGTTCTCACCAAACACAACTCTATTTACACCTACAATCCATAAAATTATGATTAGGGCAACCCATTAAAATCACTGAACAACAAAGAATACAATAAAGAACTCAAAGAACACATGCATTGACTACCAGTCAACACGCATGAGGAAGGTACAAAACCAGAGAGAAGAGCAAAATTTAACTTAGTCTTATGCAAGATTTGATTGGACATAATTGAAGCCCTTGCCACAATGATCACTTAGACACTATCTGATATTCAAACAGATAACTCAAGGGTTAGAAAACTAAGAGAGATGGAAGAGGATTCTCAAAGAATGTGTTTTATTAGAGAGATAGTATATGTTTTAAGTAATGAAACTCATTAATCGAAACTGTATTTATATCTTTAACTTTTAATATTAAAATAAGTGAGTCTCATTATTTAGAACATCCTATCACCTCTCTTAAGATTGAAACTGTAAAATAATTCTAGAGGGCTTAATTGATCCCTTTCACAATCTTTATTTATAAGAAAAATTGATACACCAGTACATAATAAATAGGGATAACCCTAGACACAATATAATCCATGATAAATAGGGTAATCCTGACACATATAATCATGATAAATAGGGTAACCTTGACACACTATAATGATGATAAATAGGATAAATATCCTAACACTCCCCTCAAGCTGGAGCATACAAATTGTATGTACCAAGCTTGGAACAAATAAACTCAATCCGAGGACTCCTAATGACTTGGTCAATACATCTGCGAGTTGATCGTTTGACCCAATAACTCAGTACAATATTTCTTTGGTCAACAACTTTTCACGAACAAAATGACAATCAATTTCTATATGTTTAGTCCTCTCGTGAACACTGGATTGATGCAATGTGGGGAGCAGCTTGACTGTCGCAATAAATCTTCATAGTAGGATGTCACAAAATTTAACCTCTGAAGGAATTGTTTCACATATAAGTTCACATGTTAGTGATGCCATTGCCCATACTCGCTTTCCGCGGTTGATCGAGCTACTACATTTTGTTTCTTACTTTTCCATGAAATAATGTTTTCTCCCAGCAAAAACACAATTACCTGTAGTAGACCGTCTATCAATAGTGAACCTGCCCAATGTACATACAAATACCCAGAGACCTGATGCTTCCTTATTTTCATATAACAATCCTTGCCTGAGGCCTTCTTTACATACCTTAGAAGCGAATGAGAGCATTCCAATGGTCAACACATGGAGCCTGCATGAAACTGACAACCACTCCAACTGCAAAGGATAGATCTGGCCTTGTAATAGTGAGAGAAATCAGTTTTCCAACCAGCCTCTATACCTCTCTGGATCGGAGAATATTCACCTTTTCTGTCCTTAATTCTGGTTTGGGTCCATGGGACTGTCTACCGGTCTACAATTCAATCATGCTTGTTTCTTGTAATATATCAAGAGCATACTTCCTTTGGGAGATTACAACTCCATCTTTTGATTGTGCTACTACAATGCTAAAGTATTGAGACTTCCAAGATCCTTGGTTTGAAAATGTCTACATAAGTACTTTTTTAGTTGAGATATTGCAACAACATCATTTCCTGTAATGACAATATCATCAACATATACTATTAAGTAAACACATTTCCCGAGAGAAGAATGACAATAAAAAACTGAATGGTCTGCTTCACTCGCGTTTTAGCCAAATTTTGAACAATGGAGCTAAAACTTTCCAAACAAGCACGGGGGGATTATCTTGAGGCCATAAGAGATCGATGCAATTGCATACCATACCAGACTCCCCCTGAGAACAAACCAGGAGGTTGCTCCATATAAACTTCTTCCTCAAGAATCACATGTGGAAAGGCTTTTGATATCCAATTGATGAAGTGGCCAGTGACGAATGGTTCCATGGCAAAGAAGAGATGAATAGTAGTTATCTGGCTACAGGAGAGAAAGTGTCGCCAATAATCAGACCATAAACCTGAGTGTAACCTTTGCAACAAGCGAGCTTTGAGCCGATCAATTTCACCATCAGGGCCAACTTTAACTGCATACACCCATCAACAACCAACCGCCTTTTTCTTGGGGGAAGGGACACCAGCTCCCAAGTATTACTGTGGTCAAGAGCCGTGATTTCTGCAGTAATAGCTTGTCGCCATCCAGGATGATCAAGTGCTTCTTTCACATTCTTGGGTATAACAACATCGGGACACTGAGGATAAAAGAGGAAAAATAGGAGGGCGACAATCGATGATAGCTTAGAAAATTAAAATGGGATGAGGGTTTCGAGTGGAACGAGTACCTTTTCTGAGGGCAATAGGCCATGCTGAATCATTTGCACCAGGAGGCGGTGGGAGAGGTGGTGACAAGGGAGAAGAATCTGAAGTAGGAGATTTACCATTGTTTTGGGGAGGTGGGACTATCCATTGGGGCCTGTGTGGGATGATCTCAGTATGTGGAGAAACATGTGTAGAAGGTTGTGATCAAGACTTGGAAGACAGAGACAATGGGAGCTATTTGACTCAGCCATGGAATAGGAAGGACCTACTGGAGGATAGAAACATCCTGAAACAATGGGAGAGAAGTAAGGAGTCTGTTCAAGAAGTGACATTGGCAGGCATTAATACTTCTTAGTTCAGAGAGTAACCCGGTATCCTTTTGAAGCGAGTGAGACCTAAGAAGACACCATTTGAGAGCGCGAGCGAAGAGTTTGTCTAGACTGGAGACATGTCTGAACAAAACAACACAGCCAAACACTCGAGAGAGTATGAAAGAGAGGATCATTAGGAAACAAAATGGAGAAGAAGGGACTTTATATCAAGAGAGGAGGAGGGGATCCTATTAATAAGATAACATGCAGTTAAGATGACATCCCCCAGTGTGACAGGAATATGGGCACCAAGCAAAAGGGTACGAGCAGTTTTCAACCAAGTGTCTATTGTTTTCGTTCTGCTATACCATTTGCTGTGGGTGTTGAGGACAAGTAGACTGATGTAAGATACCATGGGAACTCAAGATGGCAGGAAGGAGATGAGAAATATCTTTTGCATTATCACGTACTTAATATTTGATTCTTGACCAAATTGATTTCTTGATTTCATTCAAAAAGGGGAGGTAAAGATAGCTAACAATTCAGAATGATTTTTCATAAGATAAACCCAAGTACATCTTGAATATCATCAATAAAGGTAACAAAATATCTAAAACCAAAGGAGGAGATACGACTAGGTCCCCATATATCAGAATGGATGATGGAAAAACTAGAATACATATGATTGAGACCTTTTAGGAAAGGAAGATCTACATGTTTCCTAATTGACATGACTCACATTCTAAGGGTGGAGACCACTAAGTTCAGGATCATCTTTTTTAATTTGGACAAATGAGGATGGCCAAGTCGATCATGTAGCACTTTAGGATTAGAGCAGCAACACACCGACACCCTGGACGAGATCCAAAATGGTATAATCCGCCAGCTTCAATCCTTCTCCAATCTGTCTCCCCGAACCACGCTCCTGTATAACGAAAGAGTTATGATCAAAGGTATTGAACAATGAACATTTAGTCAATTGGCTTAAGGAAATTAAATTTAAAAGACAATTAGGGACAAAAAGGATTGAGTTGAGATCGAGGTGGGAGACAAAGAAAAATGACTACTTTGGAAGAAGTTTAGATCCATTTGCAAGGGTTATGAAATGAGGTTTTTCTCGAAAGGAAATAGATGAGAACAAAGAGGTATTACAGAAATGTGATCAGAAGCACCTGAGTCAATTACCCATGAATTTTGACTTCCATAGATTGAGAAACGCAGGCTGTTAATGTATTGGGAGATTGAGATGGTGTGCCAAGCTGTTAGACTTTAACTAAATACTTGATATTCATCCTCAGAAAACATAGAAGTGGAATTTTCAGTCTTCAAAGTGAAAGTTTCAGTCTTCGAAATATTGGCGGTTTTGGAAGGAAACCATGTAAGGAGTAACAATTCTCTTGAGTATGACCCATCCTTTTACAGTATGATGCATTGAGGACGTTGAATATCGTTGGCATAAATGCTTGGGCTTTCTTCCAAAAGGAGTGACAAGTTTTGAAAGCCCTCAAAGATACAAGAAGTTTGGGTTCCACTGATTGCCAAACAGGGCACACAACTGAGAAATCTGCTTGTTTCCCTGATCAGTTTTTCAGTAGGCACTGTTGCCATAACAGGGCACACAATTGGAAATCTGCTTGTTTCCACTGATCACTTTTCAGTAGGCACAGGCTTCCATCTCGCTCAAGGTGGTCATAATGCCCTTGGCCAAGGAACCAGATTCAACGGCAGCAGACCATGATAGATAATTTTTTTTCATTTAGCTTCTCAGAGGTAATTGATGGACTTCCGGAAGAGGAAAGAGTACTATTTCTGAAGAAGACGAATAGTACTAGCGAGGAACAAGAAAACCCTAAGGGTTTAGACGAAGGAAACTGTGACATTAATGGACGATGGTGGCCGGCAACGGCGGGCAGTGGCCGGCAAAGCGGGCAGTGCCGGCGGCGACGGTGGCCCCAGATGGACGACGGTGGCCGGCGGTGGACGGGCGGCGGCGGCGGCAGCGGCGGACGGTGGACGGTGTAGGGGACGAAGAACTATGGAGTCGGACAGATATATATATTACGAGACAGAAACCAGAGCGGGATCGACCCGCTCTGAATACCATGTTAGAAGTGGACTTTAAGCCTAACTCAACCTCACAAAACCTTTGCACTCACTTATATACACTGAATTGGCCTTATCTCTAGTCGATGTGGGACTTCAAACACACCCCATCACACCGAGGTATATACATCTCGAGCGTGGGAATAGACATGTTTAATAGGTGGTCTGATAGCGGCACGATAGCGGGTGGAACAATATGCCCAACAAACAATAAATTATCGCTAGGATAGGCTCTAACCATGGCTCTGATACCATGTTAGAAGTGGACTTTAAGCCTAACTCACCCCACAAAACCGGCTTGTAGGGTGAGTTTTGCACTCACTTATATACACTGAATTGCCTTATCTCTAGTCGATGTGGGACTTCCAACAACCTCTAATACTCTAATTTCTAGGGTCTCACATATGCCTAACTTATTAAATTTTAATAGAATTGTGAATGGTAATGTATCAAAATATTCTCTTGGTAAAACAAAATTCTTAAAAAAGTCTTTTAGAAGCATGGATTAACTTCGAATACTGTTTTTACTTGGATTGATTGAATGATTAAGCGTGTTCTAAATTCTTAAAGCAATTTATGTTAAACTTTGTGCATTCCTTAATTTCTTCCGTGCTCATTTTCATCTCTATTATTGGAAAAATATGTAACATTCAACAGCTAAGACATTACATTTACTCTTTTTGTTAAGGAGAGAACACAGTTGACTAACATTTGCACATATTTATCATTGTTTGCTTTGTGGAAACTTCTTTTTTCATGTTAGAGGTTAAACGGATCTGTTCATTGCTTGCAGTCACAAAGGATTTTTGCCAAAGTTTGTAAAACATTTAAAGGATATGAATTTCCTAAGAGAGGATTTAATTTTCAGTATTCACAGTGAAGAGGTAATTTTAGCATTTTCTTGTTACCTATAAATTATGTGTTTATTTGGTTGATTGATTAAGCTTTCCTGGAAAACATTGATAAAATATTTCCAGAGATCATTATTCCATTTGTATGTTGATATCTCATCAAAGATAAGGGTTTGATTGCTTGCTTGCATATAAATATGAAAAGCGGTAATAGTTTGTTGAGATGTAACTTGTAAATTGCATTTAAGCTCAACACGTGACATTTTTCCTTTGTTTGCACATATGTGCTATACAGTTCATAGGTTGAAATTTTACATTTTAATAATTAGAAGGATTGAATAAGCTACCTTGTAGTACTACACAAATTTTGAAATGATAAGCTATTAGGATAATAAGGAAGGTAGGTGCAAACAAGTTTTTAATTTGTATGATTTATTATTCTTTGGAACTTAGATTGATCCTAGCTATTGATTACCCATTCACAAGGGATACAAATGTTACCAGCCTCCAACAAAATGATTCTGTGTCTGTTGATGTCACCTCTGATGAAAAAATCACAAATTTTCAACCTTATCTTTAGGGGAAAAACTCATGTATTGAAGATGAGAATAATATGAACCTCTATACCTTAAATAACAAGTATACTCATGAAGAGAAGGTATGTTATTCAATCACCACAAGTCCATCAATATGAACCTATACCTTAAATACTTGACATTAATGAGGAGCAAAATAAGCTAGCCGTTGAAGATCTGGATCTTCCAACTGTAGTAATTAAATGTTTAGAGCATGTACTCAAGGAAAGGTGTTAGAGCTTTTACCCATTGTCACAATTTGTGTCTCATGACAAACTATCTAGTAATCACAAACTTTCTTGGTCATGTAAATACTATCAGTATTCCAAAAACTATGGAAGAGTAACTAGAAAAATGCTCTGAATGTTGAAATGGGATTTTTTAGAAAAGAACAAAACTTCGGAGTTGGTGGATATACCTAAAGGAAAAATTATTGTTGGATGTAGGTCGGTATTCATTGTTAAATACAGGGTAGATGAGATATTAGAAAGGTATAAGGCAATGTTAGTAGCTGTTAGATGCTTCTAAGATATTGGTAGTTATAATATATTATGTTAGTTACAATTCATATTTTCTTTGTATTACCTTATGTGTATTTTCTACTAGAGCTGTCAAAACGGGTAACTCGGCTCGACCCGGCCCGACCCATCACGAGTTGGTCACTTAGTGAGCCAACCCAACCTGACTCACTTATTAGCGAGCTGAAAAAATTCGAACTCGACCCGACCCATCACGGGTTGGTGGGTTAAACGGGTTGACTCACTAGCTCATTTAATTATAAGTTATTTTTAAAATAAAAAATTTACAATTTTTGTTAATTCAAATCTAAATAAACGTCACACTAAAATGATGTTAAACTCCAAAGACAATTCAAAATAAATAAAAAAAAAGTATCATACAATCCAAGCATAATCCAAAAACATGTACAAAAGGCAAAAAAATAAGTTTTTAATATTGATAATTTTTGTATCACTTATCCATTTATAATATTAGAGTCTTGAATAGATAAATCTATAATATTTTTCCCTCTTGAAACATCTTTATCACTCTCTACCGTATAATAAAAAAAAATACTTAATTAATAATATTGAAACACAAAATAATAAACAATTAAATTAAATTAAGTGAGTTGGTGACCCAACCTGGCTCACTACCGGTTCAACCCGGTGAGCCGGGTTAGAAAACTAGCCCGCATAAAAAATTATATTTTTTTCAAACCTAACCCGACTCAAACCCGTGGTGAGCCAGGTTGATTCGTGGATTACAACCTATTTTGACGACACTATTTTCTACATAAAGGGAACTACTCCTATATATAATTTGCACTATATTCAACATGGTATCTAGAGCTAGGGTTTCCAGGTAATCCATATACAAGTTTTTCGTCGCCGTCACAACTGCAATAATTAGCAGGGCTACCACTAGAGCTGTTACCACCAGTGTTAGGGTATAAGGTGGGAGGTAATGATAAGGGTTGGGAGGTAATGAGAAGGAGAAGAAAGATAGGAGGGAAGTGAGGCCGAAACGGTATTGACCGTAAAGGCCGAATGATGGAAGGCATGGAGAGGTAAGGCCGAACGGTGT